ATGATGTTCCTGCTGCTCTGGGAAGATAATTGCTGGTTTGATGCATCAAGGGATCTGGTTCTGGAGTGTGGATCGGGACTTCTGCAGTCCTGACTTGGTTTTCTCTGGGACATCAGCAGCTAGTGTGTATATGGAGATATAGATTTAGTTTGTTATTTATGTCTCTTCTGATGATGCTACCCCAGGTGTGGCTTATGGCTCGTCTGGGAGATGATGGTAAGATTCTATTTTTAAGGTAGAACTTGGTTCAAGGTACATGATGATTCATAAGAAATGCATGTCAGTCCTTGAGGACTTCTGTGATCCAATACTCAGCACTTGTTTAAATAGATGAAAGCTTGGGTCAGGCACTACTGCAGTTTACTTTTTGTCTGAGTAGGCCAATACTTCATCACAGGACTGGTGTGTGTCCTGCAGCCTGGTTAGTTGTCCTGGTTTAGCAGGAAAGTTCTGCAGGTCATAGCTTGAGCACCCCAGTGTCTGTTCTCTAAACTTCAAATTTTAATGAAAAACCACCTCACCCTAATTAAATTCTAATTACTTACTGTTAAACGCAAATTTAAATCTGAAGGTTGTTCACCTGCTATGTAGCTGTTGATTTAGTTTTACACATATTTGTTATACCTGACATGTTTGTCTGTCCCAGTTATTTTATGTTGAAAAGCCCTTGGTGGATTGATTGGGATTTTTATTTTTTTTAAGGAAAATGAGCCATGGAGTTAGTTTGGGCTGTATAAGTAATTGTCTGCTTCTGCTACTTGTCAGGTTTTGATGCAGTTTGTGTTCAAGTGTCTCGTGATCTTGGTAAAGTATTTCTTGTACTGAACTCTCCGAAGTAACGATTATTTGCGTTTTGTAGATGAGGAGTTCAGGCAGATCGAGTAATGTTTGTGCTCACATGAAGTCTGTGCTAGAGTTGGAAATTCATCCTGATTCTTCTAAATCCTTGGCTGGAAGCCTAACCACTTAGACTTCAGTTCCCTTAAGATAAAGGCACCCAAACCCAGTTTTGAGCTGTATTCAGGCCCTTTGACATGATGTAAGAAACAATGTAGCTTTTGGCTTCTTACCTTTCTGCTGTTCCATGGTGTTCGGTGTTGAAAGCCTGCAAGGGGATGAACGGATCTCCCCATACCTGCTGAAATCCATGTGTGAGCTGGAAGCTGCATGTACTGTGCAACTCTCCTTCATGCCCTTCTAAGATGAATAGCGGTTGCAGCTATAACTTAAATCAATTTGCAACGTTGCCTGCTTACTCTACGTTTGATTTTTTTTTTTTTTTTTTTTTTTAATTTTAATGCTTAGAGTAATAAAGGTTTTGTGAATAAGGAACTGCCTCAGTTGCACAGGAATTTGTTCACTCATCCTGTTAAATGTGGGTTTTGTTGATGTTCCTTGAATTGATCTGTTACCCTCTGGTGCTGCAGCTGTTCCTAAAAAAGGACATGCCATTTCTCGTGTAGTAGCGTGCATAATGTTGTCAAGGAGGAAAGTCATACAGTTCCATATTAAAGCAAATGTTGCTTATGTGAGTTTATTATGTACAATCTTCAATACTATTATGTGAAATGATATGGTTAGGATGAGTGTGAGATTTATTTTCCTTCACTTGGAACATGAAAAGCATAATTTGCCTCCTATAAAAAATAAAATAAATTTTATTCCCCCTTCCAAACATACACTTCTAATACACCTTTTGGACAAGCAGTTGTGATGAGTTTGGTTGCTTAAGGGTACATTGCATGTGCCTCGTCGACCTTACTGTTTGCTAACCAATTGGAGTGGTACCTCATGAGCAGAGCACGGTCCTGCAATGTGTGACAAGGATTTGACCTGACAGTTTTATGGTCATGCAACACATGGAGGCTTAGGACAACAGAAAGGGGTGTGAAGGACTGCATGTCAGAGATGTGCGCTGTTCCTGCTGCCTCTGTGGAGAAAAATGTGTAATGCTCTTCTCAAGGAACAGTGAAAAGCTATTGTGTCCTTCTCTCTTTCTCTCTCCTGCTGTATTTGAGCCTGGCTAGCTGTGTAGCCATCTGTATTTTTACTTTAAAGACACTGATAAACCAATTGTGTGGTTTTGAGGGAAATGTATTAATTTATTACTATTGGAAGCCATTTGGTTTGCCTTTAGTAGGTTATTTTGCCTTTCAAAGTGAAGATGCTTGCGTTTTGGACTGTTGGAGCTACTTTCACATGCTCTGCTGTAGATTGGCATTGGACATTCTCCTTTCATCGCCTCTTTAATGCTTTTAATGTAATTTGATAACTTTCTATGTATAACTTCTGAATTCTTCAGGAATCTAGTGAACTTGCATCTTGTGAAATATTTCTGATCTCATTAACACTGAGACAAATTACATCACACAAGTGTTTGAGAGCTTGTCACTTTACATGGCTAATCTGCTACACAGTACAGGTGATAGATAGTTATTTAGCAGGGATGCTGAGTAGGTTTTCTTTGGTTCAGTCTTGAAGATTGCTCTGTATCATTGTGGGGTTTTTTTCCTGCATAACCTGTTCTGTGTAAATGATATAAGATGGAAAGTCAAAAGTGACTAATGTAAGTGCACTGGGAGTGGATAAAATTGAAGTATGCTATATGAAAGTGTTAAGTAACCTAAACAGCTAAACAGAAAGGTCTTTGATTTTGAGGGTAATTCAATTAATTTATTAATTAGCAGAAAAGACTTTTGTCCTTTTTCCTTTTAAGCAAAGATAAGGTTGTGGCTTTTATTTTCGTAGTGCTGTAGTGGTTGGAACTCAGATAATCTACTGAATTTCTTATTGCGTGTTTTCTGCTTTGGTCCTGCATTTTTTTATTCAAAAAAAAATGTCAGGAATTGTTACCTAGAGGCTTTCAGTTATGGCTTGTGGCTTTGCTTGTCTACTTGTTGTGTAATAACAAAAGCTCCACTCAATTTGTCTGTTACTCTCAGAGTTATCCAAGCACTTAGGTATTTCTTTAGTAGTGGAGGGTGGTTTCCCCTTTCTGCCAGCATACAGAAAATTAAATTTTGTGGTTTTCATGTGTCTGTATTCTCTTAAAACAGAATTTACCTGGCCATTTGGAGCTAACCAGTTGCTAAAGCGTCACCCTGTTGCAGAAGCAGTGGCAGAGTAATCTCACACTTCCCCTCTCTTCCTGTTCCTCTTGCAACATACTTAGATTAGGCTGGTCCATTACACATACTACAGTATTGCTGGTGTGTTTCAGAGCTGTAATACCATGAACTTATCTCTGCTGGAGGTGAAGAGACCAGTGGTGGATGAATTGCTTCCCTGGCATCAGCTCCTCTGGCTGCTGTGTATTGCTGCTTCATTCAAAGGCACACATGGCTCACCTTTGGCTCTTAAAAGTCCTTTCTCTTGCAAACAGGAGCAAATGGACTTAGCTGGTGTCAGGTCACTCTTGCCTGCTTCTGCCCTGTTAGTGGAGGATGCACCTGGAAGGTGGGAAGAAACAGGTGGAGAATTAAGAGATGCAGCTAAGAATCTGAAAGGGGCAGTGAGCAATAGCAGGAGAAATGTGAGAGACTGGAAGAGAAGGCAAGAAAAAATCTGAGTAACAGATAAGGGGAAGAAATGAGCTGAATTTGGAAGGAAAAGGCTGTGGGGAATGTGTACGCATATCTAAAAAATAGCATTCATGGAAAGCATTAGTGTTTTAATCTGCAGAAGCATTGAAGCTAGCAGTTGTAAATGCCAGTGAAGTCACATCCAAATTTGTTTTTCAATTTTAACAGAAAAATATCTCTTTTATAGAAGGAGCAGCCTCATCTATTCAAGCAACTTATAGTAATATGTTACTGCTTTAAAAAGCTTTTAAAATGCAGACTTTTTGGTGTCTCCTGGGTAGGTCAAGATAAAAAGTTCTTTTGCATTTGATTTACCTGTGTCAGTGGAACACCGAATGGTGAATTTAAAGGGAGGGGACTGATGATAAAGGCAAAAAAATCATTGGAGACTAGGATTTAAAATATTTTTTTTAAAAAAGACTCTGTAGTAGAGACTAGGAGTCGTAAATACCCTGTGAAAAGCTTTGTGGTTTTGAGAGTTGGGTGATGAGTTCCTGGGAGCTGAGTGAGACAGATCAAGAGATCCCTGTGTTCCTCCAGAGCAGAGTCTCATGAACTTGTGGTAGATCATGATTGTGAGAGTTTCAGTTAAAGGAGCTGAGGGGTCTGTTTCTATGTATAGTTTTGTAGACCTGGAAGAGCCTTAGCTGAAGAGCACACAGTGGATTCCAGGTGCTCTTGTTCATCGTAATTTGATACCACTTTGACAAGGAAAAATTGATTCTAAAAGCTTTCAAGGAGCTATTGCCACTATGGTTGGTCTTCAGGGCTTCGGCTTTTGTCTTGTCGCCTCTTTAAAGCCTCTCAAATCTATTACATGCTCTTGTTTTTAACAACCTGAAATGTTTTTGAAAACAACCAGCTGGTAGGCACGCTAACTGTCCAGTTGTTGAGAGAAGTTCTGAACATTGCTTTGGTTTCTTCAGAGATGCATCTAACTGTAGTCTCCAAAATAAATTAACTCCTCTTTCTTGTTTAACTTTTGGGCTGTTTACTTTTTGTTTTACTGGCCAGTTACTGCTTAATCTGTGGCCTCAAAAACATCAGCTGTGAGGGAGATAACTGAGCCTGCCACCTCAAGGCAACATGTGTCTGTTGTATGTGTGCCACAACTGGGGGGCGTTCTACATTGGAAATCTGCCATATTTAGGTCTAGAGGGATCTGTGGGCTAAACCCATCCTCTTCTGCTTATAAACACTGATTGGGTTCATGTTTTGTGTTACAAACTGAGTGTTAATAGGCACCATCCTGATTAAATGCCTTTTCTCCTTTCTGGCTTGGATATAGAGGGCTCTAGAGACCAGCAGAGAGTGGGTATTCAGCAGTCTTAGTTACGTGTTTAGTAGGAACGTGTGATGAACTGTGCACTGTATCGTTCAAACCACCTACAGTAATAATGTTGCTTATCTTTCAAGAGGATGCCATTCCCTGTGGATATGTTGAACAGCTGCAGTCATGAGGACTTGGAGACCTCAGGAGAGAAATACTTGTTTGGCCTTCGGTATGGGGATCCAAACTGTCCTGAATTCTTCTCTCTGCCAGAACATGGCAATGTAAGAACCTGCAAATACTTTAGTCCCAGTTATCTTCATATACATGTAGATTTGAAAGATTTACAATATCCAGTCCATAACTGTTGAATTACATAATTATTTCAGCAAAGCGTTTGTATTTTCCAGATTCTTGTTTGTTAAGCTCTACTTTTTTTCATTCTGTAACTGGGTTTAAATCTGGGTGTCAGTGACTATTTGCTGCTTCTAGGCAATGGATCTGTATGCATTGATTAATTGTTAAAAAACCTTAGAATTTCAGCTGGTAAGTCAAATGCTATCCTAAAAAGGGCTAATCCATGCAGTCATAAAAATCTGTCATCATAACTACGAGGTTAATGATTTACTGAAGCTAACTGGCTCTTCTGGTGTCTCAGTCCTGCAGTATGCTTCATGGTTGGCTTAAATTCTTGATCAGCAAATTTTGCTAATCTCAGAAGTGATTCTTTTCTTTTTATCTGAAATACTGCCTCCTGTTGTTGAGTATTCTAGTAGAAACTGGCTGTGACACTTTGTTTTAAACACTTACCCATTGTGTGGTAAGTTGGTCATTGTTGATTCTGTCTAGATGAACATTTATATTGGAACTAGTATCAATAAAAGCAGTGTTAATGAAAAGGATTCTCTGTGGGAACAAAAGGTCAGTGCTGCAGATTCCTTGGCAGAAGCAAAGTCTAGAGTATTTTCCTGCATTTCTGCAGGTGCTGTATATATGCCTAAATATTTGTTTGTATTAACATCCTTGTTTGTGGCATAGCATATCCTAGTCTTCTTAAATTGGGTAAGCAAGTCTATTTACCACACCGTTAATGTCTGTCTAGTTTTTGTGCATTGATTAAATATTGAAAACATGAGAATTTAAGTATCAAAATGCATTTCCACAGAAGTACTCAGATCCTCAAAGGTGGGTTGATTTGACCCCTCTGATGTTGTTCCTGAGGGGAAATAAAGAAGTTAACTTTGGAATTTCTAAAATGTGTGCAATTTAAGGGAAAAAAACCCTTTTGAATTCAGCCTTCCCACTGTAGCATGTTAAGGCTTATGTTAACAAACAGCAGTTTTGCTGTGCCAGTTTGTTTCTGCGCTTGACTGCCTGCCTCGTTCTTCTGTTGGCTTTGACAGCTTGTATAGCTCAGATGGTTGAAGAGAACATACTGCTGGCTCTTTGTGCAACTTCAATTGTGCACATAAATGCAAACTGCTGACAGCAGAGAGCTGTACCAGTATAAATTACTGTTGCTAAATCTGCCAGAGCTTGAGAGTCAGAACTCTTTATAATGTAGTCTGTCTTTAGAAAGAAGTGTCTAAAGTAAGGGACAGGGTCTGGTGCTTGTCCTTTACAGTTAACTGTTAAGCACTTGGTTTTCAACATTTGTCTTGCTTGCCCTGCTAAACACGCTCTGTATATTTTACTGATGTTTTTAGCAAGAGTCTCTTGAAGTATTGTACACTCTTGTTTCAGATTCCTATTAGACTATCAACTGTGGGCTTCGTTCCTCTGTATGGTGAAGATCTGACACACAAAGTTCTTGCTTTGTTTGCACCGCAGGACTCGCTCACAGGTTTCATTTTCAGATTTTAATCTATGTGTTGCTGTTTCTTTTTCTGTGACAAATGCATGTAACCAGGCCCTTGGTCATTCCATGCTAGTGTAGCTCATAACTTTGCCACCTTTGCATTTGTTGTTCACTGTGTTCTTGTTCCCATACTATTATTTTTGTTGTGGATTCTTATGCAGAAGTGATAGAACTTTGCATGCTAATCAGAGTAGAACTGGACCCATTGAATTCAGAAGATATGTAGCAAAACAACATGGTGCTCGAGTACAACATGATCTCTTGATCTCTTTACACCTCACCTCTCCAAAAGGAATTTATTGAGCGTTCATAGAATCCATTAATTTGCCTATGAGTTTAAGTGCTCTTCTTGAGCAGTGATTGATCAGCATCAAGTGTAAACTTGTCTTTAGCTTTAGGTCCTAACATAGCTCTGGCTAAGATGACATCTTGCTGGTTTTTTGGTTGTGGGTTGTTGTTTTGGTTTTTTCCCTCCCTTCACTTCCAGTTCTCCATGTTTCCTTCTATTTCCATTTAATACCATGTATATTATTGCCAAGTTTACCACAAATGCCCGTAGATCAGACTCTTCTTGATTGCTAATCACATGGCCATCAGCCTTTTTACATTCAACTGAGTTGCTAAAACTTGCACAGTTTCAATATCAATATCCGTTAGCAACCCAAAACTAAAATACATGTAGAATGAGACTCCTTGGGCTTGGCAGGACCAGCTTTTAGTGGAAGGAGGTGCTAGAGCACGGTGATGAAGGATAGTGCTTATGGCTGACAAACTGTTCCTATATGTCATACTGCATAAAATCTGTGTTTGGTTTTACTGTTCTCAGCTTTCAAACAAGTTTTGGACTAGGGAGAATTGCATACAGGGGGGTGCTACAGCACCACATTTGTTGTGCTAGGGTAATAAGAGCTGCATTAATATAGTGCCAACTAGAAGATGCTTAACTTGGTTACTACAGTGTTGTTCCTAATTGTTTAGCACCTTTAATGAATATTTTTCTTTTGGAATGGTGAGAATCACTAACTAATTATTTCCCCTTGTTTCTTTCAAGCTGTAGCCCTGTATCTTGCTCACCGGTGGTGGTCAATTGATGACATTTTGAGAACATCTGTCCATGCTAGACAGGGGCTTCATCAGGTAAAGCGCTCCAGCATTCACCTAGCAATTGTTCTTATCCTTCAAGATAATGGCAAGTAATGGCAAATAGCTAGTGTGTGAGATGTTACGTTTTTTCCATTTAATTCAGAAATAAGTTGGCTGTCTCAAGTCAAAAGCAAGGTCAATGGGAACAGAGGAATAGGTACTAGGGGGAAGGGTGCTTGGTTGTGAAGGTAGAGTCTAGAGCAAGTGTGGCCCTTGAACAGTAGCTTCATATGTAAGCTGTTTAGATATTAATGGTGTTAAGAGTTTTTTATTTACTCTTTAGAACATTTTGTGTCTGGTTGTGTTGAAACGTCTTAGTAGAGTGGTGCATTGTACCATAGAAGTACCTATTGATCTTGTCAGGAGATTAGTAAGTTAAAAATATTGTTGGGAACCTGTTTGATAGAGGTGAGTTGGAGCTGGTGGCTTGCAGTGGCAAAACATGAGGTTTGGGAAAGTAAGTTGTCCGGTATCTGCTTTGTTATACATCATTGACCTTTGTTACCATTACTGACACCTGTGTAGCATCGAGTTTTGTTTTTTTCCAAAACTGGAAGTTTGTATTTTTCCAGGAATGTAATTTATATCTGCTCATGGAATCTGGGCACTCATCTTTGATTTTTGTATTTTTTAATTTACTCCAGAGAATTTGGCATGTAGCCTTGTATTCCATGTGCTTCTTAATGGTAGGAAGATGATTAAATCAGGAAAGCTTTTACAGGTAGGGCAGTTGAGACTCAGGGCATTGGGAAAGGAACATGGTTCTAAGGTAGGATAGTGGTGAACTTAATTTTCGTTATGTAAAAGGAACCCTGCAGGACAGAGAAAAGGATATTGAGTTCCTTGTTTCATGCCACAGAAACTGTTGTAACTGGTTCTTCCACTGCATCATGTCCTGTTTTCTGCCACTCTATCAGCAGTGATTGAGTGTGCCAAGTCCTGCTACCCTGTGAGGCTCATCATGTCTCCTTTGTAGGACTCCAGTTACCTGCTAGCCTGGAAAGGCTGAGGCTGGTGTACTTCTGTTGTGTTCGGTGAATGTTTCTTAAATCCAGAAATAGTTTTAAGTTAAAATCAAAACGTTCCCCCCACCACCCCACTCCCAGCATTTCTCTCAGCTTTTACCCATTGGATTAGGAGTGACGTTGAAGTTGTGAAATATCCTCTGTCTATGGTAGTGCTTTATACTTAACCTATTGCTATGGCTTCTGGGCATCTCCTTGACCTCAAACTGCAGAGCTTCATCCTGCTTTAGCACTTACAGCTTCTCTTGACTCTGTCTGCAGCTATGTTAACTGGCGACTTTGAAAAATAAGGTCCCTGATGTGTGAGTATTAACTAATCCGACCACCATTCTAAAATGTTCTTCTGTTTCGTTAGGTGAATTCTGTTGGAGAGAGGATTGTCCTCTATGTTCTGAATCGAATTGTCTATCGGACGCAAGAAATGGAAAGAAATGAGGTCCCGTTTCTCTGTCATACTATCAATGCCTATGCTAAGATCATGTGGAAAAAAGGAGAGGCTATTGGATTCTATTCAGTTAAACCTACAGGTAAAACACTTGAGTATTGTGGGATTTGCAGGGGTGGAGGGGAGAAGATATGGAGCTTGTTTGAAGAATATTGTATTTAGTAGACTTCACAAGCATTGGAGGCCTAATGAGGTGGTGTTTTCCTGAAATCATAAGAGGTCAGATTGCTGTTAAAATTTCTAGCTTAAATGCTTACATGCTTTAGCAATCTAAGAAAGTTCTTATATTTTTTTCATATTCTACAAAATACATTTAAAGCTGTAGAAATGAGGTATACCTGAAAGTTGTGGTTTTTCTGCAGAACGATTGTTTATGGTTGGATTGGGCTGTGCTTGGGTTTTTGGTGGGGTTTTTTGGGGTTTGTTTTGTTTTGGGTTAACTTAGCTCTAGAATACAGAGGTCCTGTTTATCTGAATATTTGTAGAATCAGGTGTCATTATCAAACATTTTATAGCATGACAGAATAGAAACTTTGCTCACAGGCGTAAGATTGAGATATACCTGATGATAACAAAAAGACATCCCCTTTCCTTTCACAGATACATTCCCTTAGAGATAACAATTGACCTGGGAGGTTTATGTTGTTGATGTTACAGACTTTGTGTCATTTTACTCGTTTTCTAAAAAGTTATGATTACCCTTTACTTATTTTGGGATTTATTGTGGTTTTGATTTTTTTGCTGAGTAAAATTTAGTATTTGGGTAGGCTGATTAGCGCATTGATAGCACTTTGTAGGTTATCAATATTTGGATCAAGGAGAAACAGTCTGACATGTTTGTTTTGTCTCTAAAGGGCGTTAACTAATTTAGGATTAATGATGATACTGGAGGCTTGCTAGAGACTCCCCCCATCTAACATACATATATGCCTTTGCAAACTGTTAAAATAATAAACTGTCTGGATCACTGACCTATTGGTGGTCTGGCAATCAAGACAGGAAAGCAATCAGCTAATTTGTTATCTTCTTGTGGTTTTTTTTTTTTTTTAAGAAATTATGCATTGCATAACTTGTGTAAGTCTCAGCATTATTTTCAATGTCAAAATTGCTGTAGGGTGGTGGTTGCAAAATATTCCCATTGCAGTGGTGTTTGTTGTGGCCTTATAAAGCTGGAAGTCAGAGTAATGGTTCTATTTTTAGTCTAGAATGGGGGCACTTTGTGGCACTGAAGTTTTATTGTACTCATGCTTGCTTATTGTTTCTCATGATACCCTCTTGTTTACTTGTCCTGAGTTAGCAAACACTGAAGGCTAGTATTTCTAGGCATTGTCAATATTTCACCCATGTTTGATTGTGTGCTGTATCCTCTGAATGAAGTCTGTGTGGAGAAAGACTGCTCTAGAAAGAGTGGTGGAGCTTGATGGGTATCCCAAAGGGTACCAAAGTAACGTAGACTCTCTGCCCACATTTTGCTTGCTTGGAAAATGAAGGTAAGTATGTTCGTTGGTCGCAAAAGTATAAGATTGGAAAGGCTAACTATGTTGTATAGATAACTGTGTGCTTCTTTGGCCTTGTTAGAGGAAGAGGCAATTTTTTGGCAGAGTTCACACTGACTTAAAAAATGAGGGCCTGAAAATGGATTGAGTGGTTGATGGGCTATCTTAATGCCATTATATGGTATCCCTTTGTCACCACTGAGTCCAAAGCTACCATTTGAATCATCTGATACTGAAGTACCTATGTGTTGGGACAGTCTGTTTCATCTTTGTTTTTATGGATGTATTGTTTATGGGAGAATTCCAATGTCAAGTGTCACAGGTTTTTTTTTGTGGTTTCATTTAAAAATTTGGAATTATTGTTTCAGTCTTTAAACAAGAGCTGAATTATAGTTTTTGTATTTGTCCTGGGGAGTGAAGTAATTACATAAAAGTGCAATTCAAGAATTTTATTGTCTCCTTTCTTCTCCTCCCTCTTTCAGCTTCACTTTTAGTGTAGTTATCCTATAGAATTGTATAATGAGATTTCAAAGTGAGCCTTTCTTCTTTCTCTGCTATTTTCTGGTACTACTGGCTTTTTCTAATGTATTAATCTATTGATATATCTTGGCAACATTATGATGATTGCCCAAAGAGCCAATAAGTGGCTTATAGCAATTATTTATTTTTAATTAACATTATAAATTATTTTTGTAACTTTTAATATAATTTTGTATGATTTGCAATTATACAGTTTGGCACCATTTTTATAAGATATAAAAAAGTGTTTATTTGAATATACCAAAATCCATACTGCAGCTGAGGTACTGATGGATACTTTTCCCCCTCCTGTTATTTCAGGAAGTGTTTGTAGCTCTTACCATGGTCAGAAGTATAAGCTGCCAGTGATAGACACAATGTTTGTAAGAAAGAAACATCGTGGAAAAGACTGTGGGCTAATGATGTTGGAAGACTTTGTGGATTCTTTTTCTGAAGATTATCTTGGCCTAAGATACCCACTGTCACCCTTTGTGTACACAGGCAAGCTCTTTAATTTATCCTTCTGATCTTCTTTTTTTCTCTCTTTGTCTCCAAATGAGTGCTGTTATTCAAGCTCCATGTTTATAGCTGCATCCTCAGTTTCTGAATTAAATGTTCTTATCTTCAGTGAAGGCTAAAAATCCTGATTTGTTTTAAGATGGTGAAGGGGTTCATGATTAGATTTTTAATCCTCTACAAGAGATTAGGTTATTGGACCTCTGTTGGCTTTCTGCTACTGTGAAGATTACCACTGTGTTGCCTGCCAAGCCTCTAGAATGGGCTGAGGTGTTTTTGTATGTGATCTAATGTCTGTCTTTGTAGCACCTTCTTCTTGCTCACACTTAAGCCTCACAAGGTCATTTAATTCATACTTTCTCAGAACTTCTGGTTAAATGGACATACTAGGGTATGTTTTAACTTGGGTATAGGAAGGCACAGTTCTAATGTCCAAGGAAAACACCTGTGGCTCTTCCATTAGCAACCAAAGAGCGTTATGTCGTGTGGGAAATGACACGCATTCTGGAAACGATGTTGACTAGGGCTGTGTTCAGGCAAGAAGAACGTTTTCTTTGTCCAGTTTCTCAAGGCTTGTCCTACTCTTAGGTCATCTGCCTTTTATGAACATTTTCATCTGACCGCCTTAGCCACTAGAAATTTTCTGCTTTTCCAAGTACTACTGTCTGGTTTTGGATCTGTCTAGACCTGGTTTGTTAGGCTTCAACCTGCAAACTGTCTTGAGCAGGATTTAATGACTAATCCATTTCCCTGGACAAGGAGTGATGTGGCAGGGATCTCGTCTGCAGAGAATATGCATCAATAGCGAATCAGGTGAAAAATGGCAGTTCTCCTAGTAGCTCCTTTGTATGATTTGCAATTATACAGTTTGGCACCATTTTTATAAGATATAAAAAAGTGTACAGAATAATGTCAAAGCATGTCTCTCCACATATATGTTTAATATGTGTATTGGGAGGAAAGAGGTGGAGGGACGGCAGAGAAGAAGGTATTCCAGAAGTGAACAGTGAGTGGATGAGAAACCATGCAATGGTGTAAGCATTCCCAAAGACTGCTTTTCACGAGTGCCTATAATAACATGTGGTGACAAAAATGACTTGACTGTATCCTCTGCCTAAGAGTTCTTCCATCCTGGATTGGGCCTTGTGATTGATAGGGACAGTGACCAGTGAAGTTCTAAAACTCTCAAGTGAGTGCTTAGAGAATAAGAAAATCCTGTCTTTCTTTGTTTGCAGCTTAAGATAATAATGGAAAGTGTTTAAACCTGAAGAAAGAATTTATTGAGAAGGATGAGCAGGATAAAGCATGTTTATTTTATTATTATTGTGTTTATTTCAAACTCTACTGTTTTGTTGAACAGTTTTTTCTGTGGTGGTTTACATGTACAATGGAAGGTTGCAAATTAATTTGATTTCGGATAAATTTTAAAGACTGAGGTACAGTTGAGTATATAGTATATATAATTCAGTGCTTTTTCTTACGTTTGTTCAGCTTGTGAGCAGTATCTTGAGAAGTACCCTGGGGATCAGGACCTTTTGTGGGAAGTGCAGGGAGCAGGACATTGGTTCCAGAGAAGATCTATTATGTCTATATGGCAAATGGAGCAGTGCAAAATTGCAGGTACAAATGCTTCGTTTTGTTGTTTTCTGACACTTTGTAAAAGTTGAACAAACACTGTACAAGTACAACAGTGATAGCTGTCAACACTGCCCATGGAAACTAGCAGAAAGACTTTTATTTGTCCTGAGATCTGTGAGATCGTATTTGGAATGGTTAACTGTTATGTAAAGGTACTATAATTTTCTGTTTCCCTGTTTCATCTTTTAAATCTTAACAGAGGCCTCACAGAAAGAAAATAAGAGTGTCAAGGCTGAGGATCATTTTCATCAGTCTGCAGCAGTGTCTGAAGGAAGCGGACAGAAGACTGAGTTAGAAACAAAGCTAAGTGTGGGTACAGAGACTGGTATCTCTCAAGTGCTTTGTTACTAAAAAGTGAAGCATGAGAAATGCTTTTTGTCCATCTCATAATTGAATTGTCTCAAGTCCATACTATATATAAAAGACAAATGCTTCTGTTACTTTTTTGTAATATCCACATATTATGCTTTCCAATGATGTAACATTGATGACTAAGCTGGGGTTAAAAATACCTTTTTTGTTTTTTGTCTTACAGGAGGGGGTGTGATGTCTCCGTGAATGTAGAGGGTCTGTGCCACAGCTATCAGGGTCTATAGTTTGAGCTATTTGCTAGCAGATTAGAGAAGGGAGAGTATTTCAACTGGTTCTGAGATTAAACTGTCTAGAAAGGCTGTTGAACAGTAGAGTCATCTTAAGAGTGGAGAGGATGAGGAAAAGTCTTTGTAGAAGTGCATGTTCACGTCACAGTTCACTACAATAGGAATTGTTTAGTTTGCATTCAGAGTTACTCATTATCTATATAGGACTGCAGCTTTCTTTACGTGTATTTGAAATATCAGTGTAGATTTCAGCTACGTATGGATATGTGTTTGTAAATATATTTGTGTCTTAGAGGAACAGCTTCTTAATATTTGATCTCATTTGTGTTCTGAGGCCACACAGAATATACTTGAGAATAACTTGCTGTGCCCAATACATTGAGCACAGATTTGTGTGCTTCAGGACTGTCTGTAGTGTTGGCATGACCGTGCCCTCATAGAAGTCAGTGCTCTAATTAAAAAGAGGAAATAATGGCTGAATTGATACATTTCAAGTCTAAAGTTTAAATATTAATAGCTGAGAGTAAGTCAAATGTCTTTCCTAGTTGACAAAATTAGCATTTCCCAAAGCAAAACTGACAGCGAAGTAGTAATGGTTTTGGTGTCTAAATGACCAGAAGCAGCAACTCTAGCATCATCACTGAGTTCTAGGTTCGGATCCTAATAATGATCGTATCAGCAAAATTATCTAAAAAACCGCATGTTTCGGTTGGAGAGCTGTATGGATATACTTGGAGAAAATAGCAGAGGGATAGTAGTTCTTAGTGTCCCAACTCCTCATAGCTTGATAGGATTACTGGCAGCTCTCTTCTTGGCACCTGCACTATCTATAGGCAGTTCTACAGTGCTTTGAAAACTGTTGGACCACCAAACAAAATAAATTACCTACCTTCCCCCAAACCAGGAAAAAACATTCCCTAACTTCCGTTTTCACCTTTCATGGAGTGCTCCCTATTTTGTGTGTTTTGATGCTAGAATAATTTGTCATTAGTCTACAAATGATTATGTATTCAAAACTCACGTGAAACTATTTCAAGCAGCGAATGTAGATATGGCCACTTTTTGCTGTCCTCCTTGGGGTAGTACTGGACGTGAGGCTGGAAAGGTGGCGGGACACCTGAGTGCTGGTTCTTGCCAGTTCTAGATGACTTCCAGCAGCTAAGAAAGAGTAATGTGTATAACTTTGTTTTAATATGTGCAACTTGTAGCCACTTCATCTGTGCTTGACCACCGAGTCCTTGGCTAACTTGCAGGAAAAAATGGAAGTATTGGGATGGTGGGGAGGAACAAGAGGCAAAATT